GCAGTATAGTCCAACTAACCTGAATCTTCGTTTCCTGCTCCGACCATAGTGTCTGATAAAAGTTGTATCTAGATTCGACTGATGCTGCGTTTTCATCACCGTCCAGAAGGGGCACGAAAGGGTGGGTGGTGTTCTCGGCCTGCTTCTCTGGAAGGACCTTCCGACGTTTCGAGGGTCGCTCTCCGGGAGTTTTGGAGACGTTCGCTGGATGGTACAGATATACACCCTTCAAATATATTTAGCATATGATCTTTGTTTCGTAAACAAATGGGAATCAGTCGGGAGATGGGTGTACCTGGGTGTTGGAGCCATCCTTAGGCGCATCCGCGTCGGCCATTTCAGGGTCCATGGCGGGAGTCAATGGGGTAATATCGACCGCTGAGAAGGACCGTAACCACCTCAGCTCCGTAGCAGCCTTCGTTGACCTGATTGAAAGACAGAGGATTGGATTGTGATGAGCGACAGTTCGATAAGACTGATTATTCATGAATCGCCTCTCGCGTCGACGCTAAACCCGATCGGGCCGGGGTTTGTTCAACTCCGCCGCGGAGCTTTTTTTCCTCTCCATACGAACTCTCTGGACAACTTTTGACGAAACCAACGCCACTCGACTCGGCTTGACACCCTGTTTAATACTCACCCTCCGATGACCGAACCCTGCTTACGTCCATGCTCCGCCAAGCCATCCAGGGAGCTCGGTGGGGATATCAGCATGTCGCCCGCAGAGGCCCGTCGACTTCGCCGCTCTCCTCGCTGCGTGCTTTCTCCGGCATAGCCCCCCGCTCCACCAACTACGATGATCCGCAGAGCAAGATACGCTTCTACGAACAAGATACGCAGGATAGTAAGACGAGGAGGAGGGTTGACCCTGAAGCGGTGCATCACGCCGAGCGGGAAGAGCTGGCAGGGGAGATTTCCAAAATCGACAGCGAGCTCGAACTTTTGAAGGAAGGCCCGTTCGGACCCAATAGCGAGTTCATCAAAAGACTTCCCGAAAAGGAAAAGGCTATTGCCTTGGAGGCTATCCGGAAATATAAGGAGGAGAAGGGTATCAATAATCTCGGGGCCGATCTGGACGACGTTTTTGATGATGAGCTGGACGAGATGATAAGGAAGGAGTTTGAGGGGATGGCGAAAGCGCAGGAAAATTGGGAACCAAGGAAAAAGGACAAGGACTCCCGCAAAGCGGTTGCACCGAAGCCTTACGAGGTGATGGTGCCAGAGGACTCGGAGTCCCAGGCGTACGTCGCGAAATTCAACGAATGCCTCACAAAGTTCGCGCAGGATAGCTCCAATGAGCGCTGGAAACCCGAGTTGTGGAGATGGTACCGCCGGTGCAGACAGATGGTTCCCGGGTTTTTGGAATCCATACCGGAGGAGGCGATGGAGTTACTGTGGAAATCGCAGGCAGAGAGTTCGACAAGGGCCGCGCGCACCACCCATCTCCAGACTCTCGCGGAGGATGCATTCTCCGTTAGCAGAACCCTTCCGACCCCACATATCCTCTCGTACATCGAGTCCCTGCGGGAAACAGGGAAGATCAAGGAAGCTTTGGATCAATGGGAGGCCCACCAGGTTGGTCTGTCTGAGGGCAAGGAAGACCTGGAGGCCTATTGGACGCTCGGCGTGCGGCTTTTTGCGGCGGAAGACAACCCGCAGCGCGCGCAGGATATCGCACTGGCCTTCCTCGCCAACGACAAATCCCGCCAGCCGCGTGTACTCATACCCGTGATGACAGCGTGGGCGCGCCAGACCGGCAAGGAAGCCGAGGTCAAGGCCTGGGCCTTGTACCTGCAGCTCAAAGCGTTCCTTGCACAAAGCATGACTATGGACGACTACGACCGCATCAGCATTGGCTTCCTCAAAGCCGGAAAACTCAACCTCGCCATCGCGGTGTTCAAAGACATGATGGTGACAGGCCAAGACCCCACACACGACTCGACCTTCCTCTACAAAGCCGCCGTCGGCCTGGCCGGCAATCTCCAGGCGTCCAGCGTCTCCGAACAAGACGTGAACAAGATCTCTTTGGCAACGCTGACGGTCCTCCCGCGACGGTTCGAAAACCGCTTCTTCTACGCAAGTTGGATGAAGAAGCTGATCGGCATGGGCGAGGTCGACTCGGCCGCCATGGTCGTCGAGCTCATGTACGAACGCGGCGTCAAGCCCGATGCTAAACACCTCAATGGGCTCATCGCAGGCTGGCTCCGGCAAGGGAACGCGGGCGCGCGTGAAAAAGCCGAGCGACTCGGCTGGGCCATGATCCAGCGACGCATCGACAACGTCTGGGCGCGATCCAACGCCGGCTCCTCCCCCCGCCTCCAACCACCCGACACCGACGCCGACGCCGACGCTGACACCGACACCGCGGTCCGCATCCCCGACTGGATGAACCGCGAGACCCCCGCCGCCAACATCGAGACCTTCTCCGTCCTCCTCCTCCACTACACGCGCCGCGTCGACGACAGCATGATCGACTACCTCATCAAATGCCTCGAAGACGCCCACATCCGCCCCAACTCCTACTTCATGAACCACCTCCTCTACGCCGAGCTCCGCAAACAAGCCATCGGCACCCTCTGGCACAAATACCAGACCCTCAGCAGCACGACCGCCCCGGACCTCGAAACCTTCGCCTGCCTCTGGGACAGCGGCAAGCTGCAGTACGACCTCGGCCGCACAACAGCCCACGCCGCGCCCTCCTTCCCCTCCGCGCGCGGCCTCTTCGCTGAAATGATCGCCTGGTACGGCCGTCTCCCGCGCCGCGCGCAGGATACCACCGCAGCTGAATTCTCCAAAGACCTCTACGACCAGATCATCCGCTGCTTCTGCCTGTCGAAGGATGTAGCGGGGACGCTGGTCGCGCTGCACGCCCTGCGCGCTGCGTTCGGCTTCGCTCCCGACGACACCACCGCGCGGCTCATCACGCTGCAAGTCGCGCGCCACGCGGCCGTCCCGGCTCAGACACCCTCGCGCCGTCTGCGCCGTCTGTCCAGCACCCCGCGCAGCAAGGAGAACATCGCCCACGTCAACCGGCTGGTGCAGATATTGGGCCAGCGCAAGGTCGCTGCGCTGGAGGCGCGGGGCTTGAAGTACGACGCGCTTGATCCGGCCGAGAAAGAGCAGTATCAGCTGGAGATTATGGGTGATCTACTGCGTATTGTGATGGGTCGCACGGCTGGGGAGGGAGGTGCTGATGCGGTGGAGGGGCAGATTGAGGCTGCTGCGAGGGAGATGGGTGTTGAGGGGGTGGATTTGGGGGGGTCTGTAGATGGGGATTTGGGGTTATAATTGGGGTTTTAGCGGCTTGAGTGTATTATATTTATTGTGTGCATTATTGGCGTTTTTTGTTACTTATTGAGATTCGGTGGTGTATTCTTTACCCTCTTTCTATCTTTATACCTGTCTGTCTATATCGATCTCTATACCAGTCTCTACAATCACTCCACATTCATATCAATATTCATTTCTCCACCTTTATTCATATGTATATCTATACAATACAAACTACATCACGCCAGGACCCAATCCAATCTCACTCTCACACCTCCAATCTCAAACCTATTCTTCCCATCTACGCATCAACCAAGTACAATATCATCACAAACACATCCTACAGAAACCTACCCTACTACCCTACCACCCAAACACCAAGAAACCTAAGAAAGTGAAACCCCACATATACGGAATAAAAATGCATATATGAAACAATGGATAGAAAACAAACCCCCATCTATCCACCCCTCTATTTCTTCCCTCCCTTCTTCTTCTTCTTCCCCCCACCGCCAGGACTATTAGTCCCCCCCGAAGCATCCGCCTCAACGAGAACCGCATCATCGTCACTTCCATTCACAGATGGCACACCAGCCGTAGCAGCCGCAGCCGCAGCCCCAGCAGCAGAAGAAACCGATCCCGACGCCTTCCTCTGCTCCGCAGCCGCTGCAGCACCGGTAGAAGTATTCTTCTCAGCATCCAACTCCTTCATAAACTCCTCCGAAACATCAGCCTTCTTCTTCTCCCACCACGACTTCTCCTCCTCCAGCTTCGACTGGTGGATGTCCATGCGTTCGCGGTAGAGAGTGTTGTTGGTCATTTCGTTGGCGGATTGGAAGATGGTTTGGCCCCAGTTTGGAGAGTATGCGTTTGCCTGTACCGAATTCCCATCAGTATTGAATTCTATTTCCCAAGGGAAATCAAATGGCGGAAAAGAAAAAAAGAAAAAAAAAAAAAAGAAAAGGGAAAGAATACCTCAGCAACAACATCCTTCACCTCATCCTCCATCTCCTTCTCAGCCCGCTGAAACCTCTGCCACAGATCATCGCCCACACTGCCTCTCTGCAATAACATCGCCAGCGCGGGTTTCTGGCTGCGCAGCGCCATCACGCGGCGGATGTCTTCCGTCGCGCGGCGGAGGAGAGCCGCCTTTAGTACTGACTCCGGCACGGCTGTGCTTTTCTTTTCCTTTCCGGAGGAGGGCTGTTCGAGGTGGAGCAGGGAGAAGTAGATGTCGCGTTGGAGGTGGGCGGGGAACCAGGGTTCGAGGGAGGTTGCTTTTTCTGTTTTATTGTTTCGGTTAGCATGATTTCCCTCTCTTGACTTGTTTCTTGATCTTGGAGGGATGGTGTTTGGAAAGATGGGTGAAAAAGAGAGAGACATACGCGCTTTGCGCTTCCTGTATAAGCTCGAAAACGTAGCGAGAGAGCCTACCAGGACGCCTAGGTAGGCGAACGGGATGGCGAGACTGAGCCAGTTTACCATGGTCGTTATATTCCTTTCCCCTTTTTATCACTTCGAATGGGTATAGTCGTCAAGGTTCTGAAAGAAAGAAGTAAGAAAAGGAAAGGTGTAGAGATGACGATGGCTGTGAGTGGATGTATGGACTAGACTCGTTTTGGAGAGAGGCCACTCTGGTCGCCCCGTCACATGACACCCCAGCTTTATACTAGCACTCCAGGTACGATCGACTATATAGTAGAGGTACAACCAAGTTTGTTCTATCTATACCTATATCCAGGCCAATCCACATTCCACGCTGTAAGATAATCATAACATCCACCCGCAATAAAAAAAGAAAAAAAAATAAGTAAACAAATCATCCAGACAGGCTATGTCGACCCGGTCTAGATAGCCAGAAAACACATGACAGACGAGATGAGGTATAAGAAACGTAAAAAAAACAAAGCAGAATCAGAAAAAAGAAAGGCAAAAGACTACTCAGAATACACCGACGACAACTGCTCCTTCGTCTTCTGGCTGATCGGTCCTATCTCCTGCATCGACTGCATATCCTCCAACACCGCGTTGAACACATCTCCCACCCCACACGCCACCTTGGTGCGGTTCCATTCGCCCCGCGTCTGCCACAGGTAGTCCATGAGACACGAGGTGATCTGCTCCAGCTGCTCCACTGAGCATCCGCTGGTCCGCTGTGTGAGCTGCTCGTGCAGCGTCTTGATGTACCCTGGTTCCAGGATCAGCTTGGGCGACTGGTCCTCGTCGTTCAGCAGCGACTGAAGCGTGGCCGGCGGGGGTTGGGTCGACTGCTGGAGGGACCCGTCGAACAGGGGCACCGGCGGCTGGGCCTTGTTCGCTGCCGCCCCCACGTCCGATTCGCGCGGTCGCGGCGACGGCTGGCTGCTGTCCCCTTGCTGCGTGTCGGGCAGATGCTCCTCCTGCGACACGCGGTCCGGATACTCCGTCAGGTCTGGGTACTCGTGCCGCCCGTGGATGGCCCCCGGGCTCGCGGGGGCGGGATGTGGCACCGATGACTGCTCAGACTTCTTGTCGGACGTCGTCTGCGTCGTCGAGGCCTCGTTGGCGTACTCGTGTGGCTGCGACCCCGGCGCCATGGGTGTCACTGGACCCTTCTGCGAGAAACTCGAGAGCCCCGACTCCCGCCGCGTCTGCTGCGACGGCGCCGTGTGCGAGTAAGCCGGTCGCGGCTGGGCCGACGGGCCGAACGAGCTCCCCTGCGTGTCGCGGTCTCCCGAGTGCTCCTCGGAATTGGTCATGTAGGTGTCCCCGTCGCCGTCGGGTCGCGACGTGTGCGACTCGTGGCTGAGATCGTTGAGGTCGGACCCGCCGCCCCCGTGGTAGCCGTTGGTCAGGAAGCTCACCGACGACGGCCGCGTCGGCGTGACCGGTCGCGCCCGTCCTCCTTTTGATGGGCTGCCGGGGAAGGATTGCCCCAGGTGCACGGGCCCGCTGGAGGGATCCGACTCGGTGTTGCCGTGCGGGACCAGGTGGGGGGGTTCCCGACCGATCAGCCCGTTCTCCGCCTCGGCGCGCCGGGCCTTCTCCAACGCGATTCGCTCGCGCTCGAGCTCCCGTTCGTAGACGTGCTCGCACTCGGCCACCAGCTGCGGCTCGGCCTGCTCGATCGTAGCGATGTCCACCTCCACGTTGGAGAGCAGCTCGTTGGCCCGCAGGATCCGTTCCTGATCGCCCAGCTGCCGCGCATCCTTCGCCATGCGCTTGATGTCCGCCAAAAAGTCCTTGGGACGCTTGTAGTACCCATTGGACAGGCGTTTCTCAATGGTGACAATCTCCATGTTGTAGAAGAACTTACCCGACACGGTCTCCCGCAGACCCGGCGTCGCGTGCTTGTCGTATGCCTTCTCGAACGGGCGGAAGGTGGTGCGTTGCTCGATCGGGAGATCGCTCGTCACGATGTTCGGATCTTCCTCCTCCCACAGATAGCGAATCTGACTCTCGTCGATCACCCCCGTCCGGAACCGCTTGTACTTCTTGATCTGGTCCATGATAGGCTGGATCCGGATCTTCAGCAGGTTGAGCGTCTGGTGGTCCTTCTTCTTCTGGGCCTTGAGTTGCTCCTTGTTCGGCGGGAGGGGCGCGGGCGGCGGCGGGGGTGGCGCCACCTCCAGCGTCTCCAGTTCCCTCCGCTTGCGATGTTCCGGGTCAGGGAAGTGCGCAGGAGAGGTCTGGACGTAGTCGGCGACCTTGGTGAAATACTCGTAGCGCGCCTCGTGGCCCGGCGCCGGCAGGTCGAAGAGATTCCGCCGCGAGTACCCGAACAGATGGCGCACCAGCGTGGCATCGACCTCGCCGGTCGATTCGAGGACGCCGAACAGCAGGACGGGATCGGTCGGGGGCACAGACCGGAGGAGACCCAGGAACGTGGAGATGACGGACGGCCCCACGGTCTCGGACCAGCTGTGGAGGTTGGGGATGTAGATCACGCTGGGCTTGTGCCGCTTGACTTCGGCGAAGAGCTGGATAACGGCGGCTTCGGGGGACCGCGTGGAGTCGCTGAGAAGGGTGGGAAGGTCGAACGACTGGACGTGCAGTCCCTCGAAGCGGTGGAGGACCGCGCCGGCGAGGTACTGCTGGCCCATGCCGAGCGAACCGCGCAGCAACAACCGCGGCCGGAAGACGCGGGATCGGTCGAATTCTTGCTGCATTTGCTCCCGCTGGAAGCTCCCCGACCCCTCGGGCTCCTCGAACTGCGCTTCTTCCAGGGCCGTGAGCCGCTTTCGTTGCGGGAGCAGCTCGGACAGCACCTCCTGGATCTCGGCCAGCGGCTGCCGCAGGAGCGGCTCCATCTCTTTGGGTAACGGGGACGCGCCCGACGACGTGGACCGCTCCGACGACGGCACCATCTTCTTGACGGCGATCATGAAATCCTTCGGGGTGACGTCGATCTGCTTCGGGTCGATGATGAGCTTCTGATCCGACTTGTAGATCTGCGGGTACCGCCGCTGGACGGCGTTCAGGGCGGCTTCGGTGCAGAGCGCGCGGAGGTCGGCACCCCCGTAGCCCTTGGTGATCTCCGCCAGCTCATCCTTGATGGGACCCGGTAGAGGAGGATCCCACCCTTTGGTGTGGATGTCGAGGATCGCACGCCGGCCCACGGTGTTGGGGAGGGGGAAGTAGAATTCTCGGTCAAATCGACCAGGCCGGCGGAGGGCCGGATCGATGGAATCGGGCCGGTTGGTCGCGCCAATGACGATCACCTGTCCGCGGCCATCCATGCCGTCCATCAGGGCTAGTAAAGTTGACACGATGGAGGCGTGGATCTGCTCCTGCTTGCTGGAACGCACGGGGGCGAGACCTGGTGAGAGTTAGCGTTTCCCCCCTCATTGGATAAAAGTTTGGAGAAAAAAAAAAAAAAGAGAGAACATACCATCAATTTCGTCAAAGAAGATAATACTCGGCTGCGTCTTGCGGGCCTCGTCGAAGAGCAACCGCAGCTGCCGCTCGGCCTCGCCAACCCATTTGCTCAAGGCATCGGCACCCTTGCGCATGTAAAAGGTCACCTTCCGGCCCTCGGAGCTGACGCTGTTGGCCAACGCGCGGGCGAGGAGGGTTTTACCCGTACCCGGCGGCCCGTGGAAGAGCACTCCCCGCGGGGGCACGATGTGGAAGCGCTGGAAGATCTCCGGATACAGCAGTGGGAGGGAGACCATCTCCTTAAGCTGGTCGATGTGGCCCTGCAGGCCACCGACGCTGTCGAAGTTGACCGTGGTGTCGACACCGAGCGGGTCTGCATCGGCCAGGGTCTGCCGGTCTTTAAGTTTGCCAAGATTCGCAGGCGTCCCTGACAGGCCCGGCGCTGCCTCGTTGGTGTTGGTCTGGGCCGGGAGCAGCCCGGCACCGGGTAACGCGGGGCCCGACGCGGATCCCCGCGCGTGCGGCGTGACCTCGTCGTCGCTGCTGTCGCTGTCGGCGCCACCGATGGTGGCCGGTGCCCCGGGGGGTCCCAAGATCGCCGACGGTCCGCTGCCGCCGAAGGGCCCAAAGGTGGGGAAGAGCGAGCGCTGCCAGGCGCCGCCGCCGCCACCACCACCCCCGCGGCCGCCGCGACGCGAGGGCGACTCGTTGACCTCGTTCTCGGCCTCCTCGATGGGGAGGATCAGGTCGGGGCGGATGATCCGGTAATCGACATCCTTGCGGGTGCGGCGGGGCTTTTCGTAGACGATATCGGTCTGCACACGCCGGCGGGGCCGCCCGCCACGTAGGTCGTGCAACTCCTCGGCCAGCTCTTCGGCGATGTCGCCTGTCGCTTCCGAATGGCCGCGGGAGCGCGACGCCCGTTTGCGCAGGCCCGGTCGACGACCGGCGGTGCTGTCCGCCTCGTCCTCGTCTGGTACCTGACTCGCTTTGCGGGGGGACGCCTGCGACTTCCCTAGCTCGTCCTCATCCTCATCGTCGTTGGATTCTTCCTCCTCGGGCTCGAAATCACTGCCTTCGTCGTTTTGGCGCTGGGAGCTCCGGGGCTTCTTGCGGCTGGACCGACGCAGCGCCCCGGCGTCCTCCTCGTCGGGGTCCGCGGCCGGCTGGGAGCGACCGCGTCGGGTTCTCCGCCGGGCCACGGGGCCCTCGTCCTCGTCATCCTCGTCGTCATCCGCACCGCCCACCCCGTTCTTGACGTCTCCGTTTTCGGATTCGGGGACGACGGAGGGGTCGCCCTGGGTGGCGGGCCGGGCGGCCGCCGTAAGACTCTCGTCGAAGCTGACGGGTACGTCGCTTTCCATGATCTCGGGTTGGGAGCCCTTGATCTCCATGGTGGTCTCATCGATAACGTCGAGGTCGTCGGGCTTGGCGGCGAATCCCGGGGTGCGCTTCGCGGCTCGGGACCCGCGCCGGCCCCGGCGCGCCATGTCAGCGTCGGGGCTGAGGGTGGCACGCTCGACCGTCTCCATATGGCGACCCGAGTTGGTCAGGGCGTAGATGTCCTCGGAGGCGCCGCGCGTCCGCCGGGTGATGCGGCGATGGGCGAGTTGGTGGTCCTCGGGCGGTTGGCGCTTGAGCGCATCGCCGACCTTGAGAGTGACGACGGCGCTTTTTCGTTTCCGGGGGGACGGGACGGGCTCGCTGTCGCCGTCGGCGTCCTCGTCGGGATCGTCCTCGATGCTGCTGGTCTCGTCCTCGTTGTAGGCGGGGCGCTTGGTGGCGGCGCGTCGGGCGACGAGGCCGCGAGCATTCCTCTGGGCATTTTGGTCGTCCTCATCCTCGTCGGACTCCTCGTAGGAGAGTTCGTCGGCCTCATCGAAGAGATCTTCGTCGGAGAGGTCGTCGTCGGAGGCGCGGCGGGCTTTCTTCTTGGCGGGCTTGGCCTTCTTCTTGGATTTGGGGCGCGGGGCGGCGCGGACGGGGTGGTCGCTGTAATCATCGTCGTCCGAGTCGGACTTGTTGGCGAGATCTTCGATGGGGCGTTTGAAGCGAGGCATGTTGCCGATTCGATACTTGGAGCGTGACGTTAGTGGCCCACAGGAGCTATGTTGACGATGGGCAGGGAGGTGGATGACGCTCGAGGACCAAGAGTGGACGCGATTGATCCGCGATGGTGACGGAACGAGTGGAAATGAATGAAAAGAGAGGGGACATACTGATGAGGAGTTCGAGGAACAGGCCCAGTTTATTTACCACCACCCAAACAAAGAACCTCCCACAACAACGCGAAAGTTGGACCGGTTTAGACCTTCATGTAGGAACCCTGAGGGGAGTGTAGTGGCCTGGAAGGAGTAAACGGAGGAGCGGTAGAGAGTGGATCGCGATCGTCGATGGGGGGATGGAGCTGTTTATTGTAAGAGATACCGCAGCAAGCCGTCGCGCGCGTTGTTTGGTACGGGGGTTGGCGCGGAGGTCAATCGGAGAGGAGTCGAAAGATGAACGAATGAATCAATGAATCAATCGATAAGTTCGAGTCAGGGTGCAGGCGACTAGCGAAAAGAGGGAAAGCAAGTCGCAAGCAGTAGGGAGATCGGAGGGTGGTGGATCGACGGGAGATGGAGATGGATGGAGATGGATGGAGACAGGGACGATGGGCCACTGGATGAAGCAGCAGTGAGGGAAGACAAAGAGACAATCTTTGTGAGGATGAAGTCTATCAAATGTGGGTTAAAGCCGTGTCCGTGAGAGAGGAAGAGAGAGAAAGAGTGAGGTAAAAGAGAGAGAGAGAGATAGAGGGAGAGAGACGGAGGGAGTGAAGATCAAAGGGCGAAGAAGAAAGAAAGCGAGAGATTCAGCCCCAATGGTTGAGTCTGCCTCACCGCTTGCCCGATTGGGAATAGCTCCCGTGCATCCATCGCGATTCACCCTCGATGGGGGGGGATCCTCAGGCACGGCAGAAACAGCAGCATCTTCTCCATGGCGGATGACTTGCACCGTGTTTATCCTTCCATCTCCATCTCCGATCTCGATCATTTTCACTGGAGATAATCTGCCAGAAAGGATAGGTGTCAACTGAGAGAGTAATCCCACCCATTGAGGGATATGGGAGACCCCAAAACACGGATGGCGTGTGAGGTGAAACGGACAAGAAAAAGAGGGGAAAGACGAGGAAAGAAGAGGAGAAGAAAGACCGCAGGAGGCAATATGAAAGCAGATAAATAGACAAATCCGGGGAAGCTTATCGCCCTTTGACTCCTCCCCGCCCTTGGCCAGGTACGGTCATGTGACTGATTATTCATCGTACATTTATCCACATCCACTCTTCCTTCCCTTCTTTACATTCTCTACATTCTACTCCGTGCACTCTCTATACCCCTTCAAGATAACCCTTCTCCAACCATCAATCAATTGATCAACAACCAATACATCATGATGTCCCCCCTCCGATCCCTCTTAAGATCTTCCTCCAAATTCCCCTCTAGATCCCTCTCCACCTGCCCCGTCCGCCTCAACCAATCCCATCCCACTCCAGACTCCAACCCCAACCCCAGCTCCTTCAAGCAGACCGTACGTATCTCTTTACACATATCTATATATCATATACATATATATATATATATATATTAGAAAATACTAATCAAGATAGGCCTCCCGCTACCGCCTCTTCGCCAGCCCCTTCGCCAAAGTCTTCCTCGGCGGCATCTTCACCTACCAGGTCATCTACTGGACCTGGCTCAAGCTGGAGATGGATGAGTCCAAGTGGGAGAAGCGCCGTACGTCCCCCCCTCTCTATCCTTCTTTCTGCTACTCTACCCTTGTAATGTGAGAGGAATGCTCGATCTAATTGGCGAGGACAGAAGAAGCTACTGCTTTGGAGAAAGAGGCGAGGGAGTTGACTGCTTCTCAAAAATAGCCCTTTTTTCCTCTTGATGTTGGTTTGTCTCGACCTGCAGTATTGTAGGTGGTCTGGCTGACTGTCATTGTATTGTTGTTTCGATCTAGAGGAAGAGGTTCTGTATTTTTAATGTTATATATACCCAATGGATCTGTGGAGTTCCTTGTTGTGTAGTGATTCTATATTTATCCATTGCATTTCCTGCCTCTATTTGAATGGTTTATTTATATCTACCTAGAGGGTAATTTTTCTTTCGAATTATCTATTGGTCGTTCTTTTCCCCCGTCTAGGTTCTTCACTGCAACCGCCTAGTCTACTCCATGCACTCTTCCATCTTCATTAGAAAAAGTCAAAGTCATCCCTGGTAAACATCCCCCACATGACGAGGATGAGGATGAGGATGCACTGCAAACCCCGATGTCCGCACATAATCCAACCCACCAGCCATCTTGGCCCGTTTCTCCTCCCCACCTTGGCAAACATCCACCGGAGAAGCTCGGCACCGCTTGCGCTTAAGAGACGGAGGCGGCGCCATGGACGGACCCTCCTCATCTACCATGATCTCGTCGTCGTGCATCCCATCGCTGTCGCTGTCACTGTCGTCATCCTCCGCTTCGTCATCCTCTTCATCTCCATCATCATCATCATCCTCATGGTTACCCTCATCATGAGCCCCATTCCGACCCCCCTCCCCCCCATACGATCTCCACTCCTCAATCCTCTCCCCCCTCCGAAAATGCTCCCTATCAATATGATTAAACCTCTCATTCCACGCCCCAAGACCCTCCTCACTCCTCAACGGCACGACATCCCCACAAAACCCGCACCAGAACTGCGACATGGACTGGGCGTGTCCGCCCTCACGGCCTACCTTATCCCGGGCAATAGCCGTCTGCACGGCCGTCTCGTCGGTACACGCGTGGTGTTTCTTGAGATGCTGCGCGTATATCTCTTGGCGGTGGAAGACGCGCGCACATGGCACGGTGCCGTCTGGTAGCGGGCAGCGCCAGCTTTCGAGGTGATAGTGCTGGGAGTTCTCGTGGCGCTTCCAGTCGGCTTTGCTGCCAAAGGTTTTGGGGCAGTTGGGGAAGGTGCAGCCGTAGGGGCGTTCGTGGCGCTTTTTGTGTTTTCTATTGTTTGACACCAATAATGAGTGGTTGGTTCTGACTGGAGATAAGGAAAAGGAAGAGAAAAACATACTTCATCTCACACCGTAACCGCGTCCGCTTCGTACAAAACTCACACTGGATCCACTCCTTCTTCCCCGACTCAACGGCACTAGGACGACGACCGCCGGCAGACCCCGACAGCCGATCCAGCGCTACCGTCAAGATGCGCTGCAGCATCTCCCGTTTTGGGTCGGACAGCGGAGAGGAGTCCTGTTCGTTATCACCGTCAGGCTGGTGGCTGCGCCGGCGGTGGCCGTTGTTGATGATCTTGGTCATGGCGTTGATCATGTTGGTGGCGGCTTCGGAGATCATGTCGTCCATTCTTTCTGTGCGGACGCCGCTTCCTTGGGAGGAGATGGAACTCTTGCGGTCTGACAATGTGTCTAGATGGAGGGCGTTCAAGGCCGGCAGCTCCATTGGCTCGAGGTCTGGCAGTGGCGGCTGGGTGGGAGTGGACTCTCCGCTGGACTCGGTGGTTTCTTCCACTAGAGGACATCCGCCCCGCTGCTCCGGCGAGGTATCACGGCGATCCGTGCCCGAATCTCCCGGCTGGTCTCCGGGATCGAATTGCGTTGGAGGGGCCGTCGACGCGTCGTCTCCGAAGCGCCCCGCTAGGGATCGAGCCAGCTCTTGCGGCTTCTCGCAGGTCTCGTACCAGTCGAGCGACCTATGTTGTCGTCAGCACGCACCATCACCCGCCGTCGGGATCGATAATGGAGGGACTACCTCTTCAACAGCGCATCAGCATCTTCCTCGTGGTGCATGCGGGCCAGATGCTGACGGAAATTGTCCAGACGGGGCCAGCGCTTATTCCGTCGAGGGCAGTCTTCGCCGAAGCACAGGTAGAGGACCTTGGGACCACGCTCCGGCTCCTGCTTGTGAACGCATTTCTTATGGCGGGCGAGGTCGTTGATGGTCCCGAAGCCTTCTTTGCGAGAGCAGTTAGGCTCGTCGCATTTGAAAGATTTTTTGTGTCGGGCTTCGTGCTTTCTACCTTTCTTTAGTACTGGAAATGGCGCGAGATATGTTCAAACTACGGATCTCACCTCTTGTCGGACGGACACTTCCCCGTCCACGTACACCCAGGATAATCACATCGAATGGTGTCTTGGCAGAAAAAAGACGGAGAACCCAGATGATTCATGCGAATCAAGGGCGCATCTCCAGGCGGCACGACATTGAGGTCCAAGACGGGTTTCTCCTCGGGTTCCTGCTCCGCGGGACCCAGGTAGGGGCTGCAGGCCGAGTCGATGGCGTAGGAGGTCACCGAGCGGGTGGTGCAGCTCTGGCTGCTGTATCCCGAGTCCGACGGGTGGATGCCGTTCAGGTGGCTGCCATTCTCAGAGAAGTCACTGCGTTGGCCGGTGGAACAGCGCCGGGCCAGGCCGTCTGTCGGATAGGCCGTTGTTCGCGAGGGGAGAATGGGGAAGGCGGCGGCGTTGGTGGGGACGCCGGTCACCTGGAGAGGATTCCAGGCGTCTTGATCGTGGGAGCGGCGAGATAATTGATAGTGGGCATAGTCGCGCGAGGACGATGACGAGGACGAGGACGAGGAGGGTTGGTAGTGATGGGGCCACCAGGGGCTGAGCAGGGAAGCGGGACGATGGGGGAGCACGGCGGGATCCGACGAGGGAGCGGAAGAGGAGGAAGACGAAGAAGCGAACTGGAAGCCCAAGAAAGAAGCCGGATCACCGAGGGTGAGGTCGGACGGGGTCATCAAATTGTCGGGCGGGTTTTCGACGGAGGTGTGCGGTGCGGGGATGCGAGTGGCCATGATACCTTGCAGGATATCGCCCGAGTTTTCCCAGGGTGTCTATCAATCCCAATTAGCTTTCTCATTTTCTCTTATCCGTTTCTCTTCGCATTTCATATTGTAAGTTCAAAAAGAAGGAAAGGAAGAAAGAGAGACATACATTCATCCCGACCGATCTGCAGATCACCAGACACGACGACCAAACAAGAACCAGAGTGGAAGGGGACAGACAGCAAGAGAATCAACAGGCCATCCGTTGTTAAAGACTAGTTAGGATGTCTTGTATATATAAATAGACATATATAATATATCAGGGGTATTGGGGCTGTGTCACAGACCAAGACACGCGAATAGACTCTGGAATGGAATGGAATCAACAGGGGGGGAGGGAAGGGAAGAAGGAGGGAAGGAGCAGAGAATGAATCACTGGATTATGGACGACAAGGGATGAGAAAAGAGAAGAGAAAAGAAAAGAAGAGAAAAGGAAGTCAGAAATGAGGCTGTAGATGAATATAGAGAAGAAGATGGAGAGATCACTTGTCAGTGAAACCCCACGCGATCGGATGTACCGCACGGTCCATGATGACGAGAAGAAGAAGAAGAGAGAAAGGAAAAGAGATGAAAGGGAGAGAAAGAAGACAGGAGTCAGGAGGAAAAGAGGAAAAGAAAAGAAAGATGCAGATGCAGGATGAACATCCCAATGACTTCCTGCAGCGGAAATTGAATTAATTCCTTCCCTTTTGCGCTGGCTTCGTCACCCCGTTGTACGGCTGCTCTATTCTTAGTTTTTTTCTTGTTCTATTACTTGGATATCATCTTATTCTCCTGGAGAGTAAATATTTTGATATTCTGATCCATCATTCCGGAATGAAATCAGAGAGAGAAAAAAAAGAAAAAAAGAGGAATCATATTTCTGGGTATATCTCATGCCGATCCATCCACGCCATTCACTCAGCCAAAATTAATAAGAAAACTGCAATCAAAAAAAAGTAAATAAATAAAAAGAAAAAAAAAAAAAAAAAAAAAGACAAAACCAATCCAAGACAGGAAACGTCAACATGCCACATGCACTTCGCAATCAAGGGGTTGGTCTCAGCCCGTCCTGCTTTTCTTCTCCCTCCACAGCCACTCTTCTCATCTCCTGGCTTGGCTCGCATCTCCCTGGATCTCTTTGAATCTCCTTGGATCTTTTGGTGTATACCTTTTTTTTTTTTTATAGAAGAAAAAATGAATGAGTAAAAGGGGTGGGTTAATACCCCGTAGCTGGCGGATACGTCATCCCCCCTGCCATCCCCCCTGCCAACCCCCCCGGATAAGCATAATGCGACGGGTCGTGCTCCGAGACATAGGTCGCACCAGCACGTGGGTCACACACCCCCGGCAGGTCGGACGGAGGCGTCGTGTATTCCGACGTCTCGGGTAACATCCCCAGCTCGGATTGTGACGCCCGCGGTCGTGGTCCCGCGTTGAACGGCGGCGGGTATGACGCCGACGCCCCCGGCACAGACGCGACGTACCCCCCGGGCGATTCCAGCATCGTCGTCCCTGCCAGCGGCCCCGAACCGTCAAAGGGGCCGCCGCTCTCGACCCCGTCGTACGCGTCCATCGTCCCCGGTTCGGCGGAGAACAGGCTGCCGGACGGGGTCGCCATGTGGGGAACCACGTACGTAGGATGCAGGGACATCATCCCCGCCGTCGATCCTCCCGCGTGTGGCCCGCCCCCGTGGCCGTTGTCGGGGCCATGGTTGGGCAGGGGGTCGGGGTGGTATGGAGGAAGTGGGGTGGTCGTCGTGGTGGCAGTCGGGGTGGTCGTCGTGGTAGTAGGAGTGGTGGTCGGGACCCCGACTAGTGCCGGCGCGAACCGGTCGTGGGGCTGCCCCACCGGCCCCGCCCCGGACAGGTCGCGCTCGTCCACCAACCGCAGCACCGGCATGGCGATCTGCTCCATGTGCTTCGCCAAATGCACGGTCAGCTTCTTCCAGCTGCTGCAGACGTTGCCGCAGAATCGGCACGGCTCGTCCATGGGCCGCCGCGGCGTGTCGTGCCGGCACCGCTCCACCAGGTTCCAGAGCTGCTCGATCTCCCCCTCGCGCGGTCCGTCCGCGGGCGATGCCGCCGCCGCTCCCTTCCGCCCCTTGGTCTTCTTGACCTTGGGCTCGGGCATCTTGTGCTCGCGGACCAGGTGCTGCACGAAGTTGTCCTTCCGGTAGCAGGTGTGCTGGCAGTCCGGCACCTCGCACGTCCACCACTCGAGCTGGCGGTGCCGCTCGCTCTCGTGGCGGACCCAGTCCGCCTTGCGCTTGAATGATTTGGGCTCGGTGCAGTGCGGGAAAGTGCAAGTAAAGGGCTGGACGTCCTCGTGGACGTGTTTTGTCCAGTCGGATGGTTTTTGGAACTTCTTCACGCTGAAGCAGACGGGGCACTCAAACTCGGCCGGCAGCCGCGGCACAGGCGGCAGGGGCACGCCGAGGGGGAACTGCGCCGCCGTCACAGCTCCGTCCCCCATCATCTGGGGGTCTTCCACGGGCTCGCCGCCGTGGCCGGAGATCTGGAACTGCGTGTGCGCGGCGTCGGGGGCCTCGGAGGCTCCCGCCCGCGGCGCCAGCATGGTGGCCCCACCACCGAGGGCGAAGCAGTGGCGACCCGCGGCGCACCGCGTTTGGCGAACCGCCTGAGCGTGGGTGGCTTTGCTCTCGACCAGCTTCCGGTACCGGCGGACCTGCTCCCCGGCGAACCGCTCGATCAAGACCGGCGGGAGCCGGGGGTTTAGGTGGGTGATCTGCGCGCGGAATCCCTCCAGGGTCGGCACCGGGAGGCGGGGCTGGGGGGTCAATTCCATCACCAGTCCCTTGTCGTCCGTCATCTCCTCGTCCTCGTCCTCGTCCGCGTCGGGCCCCGTCTCGCGGGGCGCCGGCGGGGGTTGCTGGAGTGGGGAGTAGGCGATGGCGCCCACAGGGGGTCCACCATGGCTGGTCATCAGATCCATCAGACCGGGGGCCGAGGGCAGCTCGCTGTGGCTCCGCGTGCGGGCACGGATCGATGACCACGGGCCGGGGGGTGGGGAATTGGGGGAGACGGCCTTGAGGGTATCTTTGCCGCCGATGGCGGCCATCTGGCCGGCGATGGCCATGACGGCCCCGCCGGTGCTGAGACTAGGCGATCGCGACGACCGGCTGATACTCAACCGGTGGGGGAAGCTGTCCTTGCGCGGCGGGGTTCCCCGGGGCTCCTCGGGCCGAGCGGTCGCGTCGGTGCTGGCCCGCGCGAGGGAGACGTCGGAGAGGGGCCGCTTCAGGGACAGGTTCCGGTGGCTGGCGCTGGGCCGTTTCTGCAGGAACTTCAGCAGGCTGTTGCGCCGAATGTGTGTCCTGGCTTTGTCACCCCGGTCATTGCTGATCGTCAGCCCCTCCAGGGAGGCCTCGGCCCCGAGGACACTGGCCGCATCGTACTGGCTAATCCGTTTCGTGCCCCAAGTCGCCGCGCGCGAGGCGGTGTCGGTCTCCCGGGCGCGGCGCTCCCACTCGACCATGGCAGCGGTGGAGGTGGGCGGCTGGACCCGCGTGGCGCGGGGGGTTGCGTCGTGCGCGGGATCCTTCCACGGGAGGGACCCTAGGAACTGGTGGGGTGAAGGCTCGTCGTCGTCAGGCTCGTCCGGCCCCATGGATTCGGGTTCCTGGGTCCACCGGGCCTCGTCGACGGCCACGGGCGGCGAGCCGACCCCGGCACTGCCGCTCTCCGACTCCGAGTAGTCGTCATCACTGTCCTCATCCTCCTCCTCCTCCGACTCGTGCACCAGCAGCCCCGGCCCCGGGACCGACGCGCCCTGATAAGGCGGGTGCCGCTGGAAGTAATCCTGCTGGAGGGTCCGATCGCCCGTGCTTTTGGCCCGGGGTCGGACGCCCGAGTGGCGTCGGCGGCCGCGGCCGAGGGGCGGCCGATCGTCGCCGGCCTCGCTGACGGATTCGGACCACATTTGGATGTCGGCATTCTTTTGCTCCAGCTGGCGCTGCAACTCCATCTGACTCGGGCTGAGGACGGCGTCGTCGGTACGGCGGGTGGGGTCCACACCGGCTTGTCCGGTGGTGTCGTTGGGGATCCAGGCGCCATCGTGTCCGCGGAAGACCGAGGTCGCGTCGGGGGCGGGGCCGTCGTTATGGTGGTGGTGATCTTCGTTGTCGTCCTCGTCCTCGTCATGCTCGGCGGACCCACCGTGGGGGGACAGGTGAGTGAAGGACTGGCTGGGTCGGCGGTCGCCGCGGACGGGCGAGTCCCCGCGCGAATAACTTTCGACCTTGACGATGGGACTGCGGCCGCGGACATCGGCGCGGGGATCGTGCGCGCTGCGACCGTCGCTGGCGGGGCTGGGGGCCATGGAGAGGGAGTGGGGGAAGTGCAAGGCGGGAGCACCGGTCGGCCCCTTGACCGGGGCTCGGTCGGGCGAGGGGGTGTGGTTGTGGGACAGGTTGGGGGAGAGGAGCTGGAGCGGATCCATGGTCATAGGCGGGGAGGCCATGCCGACCGACATGTGGGGGGAGAGGTGGTCGGTACTGGGGGGCGTGTGGGTACTGAATTCGCTGGAGAGGTCGGAGGGACTCAACAGGTCGGAGGGACTCAAAAAGTCGGAGTAGGAGGGGGTGTGACCATCGTGGTTGGAAGGCGAGGTGTCGAGATTCAAAGGGGGCGGGGAGGGATTGCGCGATGAAGGACGATCATCCGGGTTCGGAGTTAGTCGAATAGCGGAGGAGCCAAAGGAATCCTGCTCGGGGTCCAATGGAGCGGAGAGGTAGGGATCCGAGTAACACGGATCGTGAAAGATGACGGGGGTGGACGAGTTATCCGGCGCCATACTGGAGGATAGGGTGGACATTGATGTGATGGTGGATCGCGGACGGGAATGAGGTTGCGCTCGGTTCGAGGGGACCGAATTAGACGAGCTAAAACGAAGGGACGGAAAAGAAACGGATTTAAAGCCACCAGTGTGGGTGGTTTGAGATCTAGTGAAACATGGACGGCCACGAGGAAAGGTTGGACAGAAGTAGTAGGAGGGGGAGTGGAATGGAAGATGAGTGGGTGGAATGCGGCGGTGCAGAGCGAAGGAACCGGTAGTACAGGTGGACAGACAGAATGCCAGAGGATTGAATGGATGGACAGATTGAGATGCGATGGAGATAGAAGAGGAGACGCGAGGAAAGGAGAAGAGAGCGAGTGTGCAAGTCAGATAAGGAGGAAGGAAGAAGTCAAGAGAGAGCTAGAGCGAGAGAGATGGGTAGTATTAAGAGAATTGGGAATGAGTAAAGAGACCATCCATGATATAGCCAGAAGAGAGAAAGAGAGATGAAGTGAAAGAGAAAAGAAAAGTGAAAGATGGAGAGAAGAGAAGTGAAGAGAAGAAGAAGAAGAAGAAGAAGAAGAAGAAGAGAGAGAGAGAGAGAGAGAGGAAGAAGAGGCTCTGCTGCAATAACGTAATCCCCTGCATAACTCCATCACATCTCTGGATCCAACGTGGCGGAGTTCATCTTTTCTTCTTCTTCAATTTACTTTCCCCCACCATATCTATATATCATAGATATTTATATCTACCGAAACATCAAGTATACATATTTATATTTATAGATAAATACACACAATGAAGATAAAACATGGGACGAACTGGACCCGCCCGGGCAGTCCCGTTGGTTCCTTTCTCCTCATAACTCCACTTTATCCATATCCTTTATCCTTTATCCTTTATCCTTTATCCTTTATCCTATCTATCTATTCTTTCTCTTTACTTACACAATCCCATTCATACAATACTATAGTAGTCAATAAATATATAGTATGATGTTTTCTTCTACCTATTGATCTCTACACAACCACACATCTATCATGTATATTCATCATCTACCCTAGAGGAACCCAAGCAGTCCACAGTCAGCCTTGCGAGGCGGTGCATCTGCAATGTATCAAACTAACCCCTCCTCTCTCCACCCCCCTTCTCTATCAGTTTCCCCTCCATGTAAGTAAGGATTTATAAATAGAAAATTGAACATAAACCTTGAAATAGACTCAGATCAGTAAATAAATAACATAGAAAACTACCAAAGGTAAAAAATACCTACCATCCAAAGAAACTCCACCAAAATAAGCTTCAACTCTGTCTCAGCCCTATCGGCTCTGACATCATCTTCTTAATCCTATATCCACAGAGGAAAGATCATAGATCGGAAGATCATCAATACTATGTAGTATGTACAATGACAATGCTAAACTATCCTCATCCCCATGCATTACACTCGTGGGTTGATACAGGTTGAATCCGTCGCTTAAATGCAGCACACATAATCATCATCAGAGAAAACATCAGAGGAAAATAAAAAATCACATCAAAATCGCAGAAGAAGAAAAACAAAAAAAAAAAAAAGAAATAGGGAAGAAATGA